AACCCATTGAATGACAGTGACACTGTCTCCATCTCCTTCCCAGGAACACTGAGGACCTCTGTTAGACATAATTTCCTGCAACTTACCCACTTCAGAAATTAAAGAATGTGCATTTATATGGCACTTTGTATGCCACAAGATTCCCCAAATGACGTCATAGCCAATGAGGTGTAACGTGAGGAACAAGACGGCCAATTGCAGACGCAAAGCTCCAATTAACAGCATTGCAATAATGACCGAATGAACTGTTTTTATGCTGGTGGTTATACAGTAAATATTGACCAGGTTGCCAGGGAGAAACCCACTCCCCAACCTCATGTAGCACTTTAATGTCCACCAAAATGGGCAGGTGGGACTGGGGTTTAACATCTTACCTGTGAGGTGGTACCTCCAACAGTGCTGCCTACCCTGTCCCAGAGTGTAGGTCAGTGTCGATCAAGACAATGGGATGCATCTTGAACAAACTATCTTCAATCTCCTAAGTGAGAGCGCCAACCACTGAAACACCCAAGCCTATTGCCAACTAATCATTAATCCTTACAGTATTGTCGACTGACATCTTGCCTTGGTCCTTCACTTTGAATGGAGGGAGGCATTAGCAAGGCCAAGCTCCATGGTTTAACAAAATGCTCACAATCCTTGAGTTTCAGCTGCAGAATCGGTAATGACTCCCAAAAGATTGTCTTGCCGCAAGTTCTATTTGGCTTCCGTGGAAGTCGAGATTAAGTTGACAGAGTTGAATGATGGGATCTGCCATGCACTGTTGCTATGGCATGTTGCTGGATTTATTAAGGTGCTGGAGACATATCACGGCAGCTGCAAGGTCACTGTCATTGTCTGACACGTCCTATCTTGCTGTGGAAATGTAATCATGCTGCATACATTGGAAAATACAGTTAATCTTGCATTTGGACAGAGAGAAAAAGAGGTGTACTTAATTTACAGCAGCAGTTGTGCTATCCTTACATTCAATATTTTCTGAGAATTTTAATTTTCCGGAAGATTAGATGTTGGAACCAGGGGAATTCCATTCAACTCCCTCCTCCACCACAACTTTCACAAGATTACCCCAATCAAAAGGTGGCACCCTTTCGATACTGGCACTCAATGCAGATAGTCTCTACACAGACACTAATGCGTTCTGTCACTTTTATACGGTTTTATTTTGTTTTATACAGTGATTCAGCTTCCAGTGGGGTATGCAGTGAAATTCTGTGCACCATACTCTAAGAAGGATGTGAAAGCATTGAGAGGATGTGGAAAATATTTACCTGATTGATTGCAGGGAAAGAGTGAGAGATTACAGTTTTATAGATGAATTGGAAAGGCTGGGATTAAAAAGAATTAAGTGCTGGAGAAACTCAGTCAGTCTGGCAGTGTTTGTACAGAGACAGAAAGAGAAACAGTTAACATTTTAAATCTGGTGTGACCTTTGCTGTAGTTCTTGATATGGTTCTGAAGAAGAGTCACACTGGACTCAAAACATTAACTCTATTTCTCACTGCACATATGCTAACAGACCTGCTGAGTTTCTCCAGCAATTTCCGCTTCTATGTAAGATATCCAGGATCTGCAGTCCATTACTTTTATTTTAGTAATGCCGGGGGTTGACCTCCTTGGACAAGAGAGGGTTGAGAGGGGATTTGTTTTGGGCTGTTCAAACTCACAAGGGGATCAGGAGAGAGGAGAGTGGGGGTAACTGTTCTGGTTAGTTGAAGACTTGAGAACCCTAGGGCACCAATCTAAGGTGACTGGCAAAAGAAGGAAAAGCAACTGGGAGGAAAACCTTTTCTTGCAGTGAGCTGGTGGGATCTGGAATGCACTGTCTAAGATCGTGGTGGAGATAGATTCAATCAAGCTTTCAAAAGAGACTTAGATAATTATCTAGAGGAAATAAGTGCAAGGTTTAAGGGGAAAGGCAAGGGCTTGTGACTAGCTGAAGGTATACAGATAAGGGCATGATGGACCAAATGGCCTCCTTCCATGCTATAATAAATCTATGTTCAGTTCTATCTGGGAGCACAGATATACTGGTCTGGGAGTGCAGATACACTGGTCTGGGGGCACAGATACACTGGACTGGGAGTGCAGATACACTGGTCTGGGGGCACAGATACACTGGACTGGGAGTGCAGATACGCCAGTCTGGGACTGCAGATACGCTGGTCTGCGGGTGCAGATACACCGGTCTGGGAGCGCAGATACACCAATCTGCGGATGCAGATACACTGGTCTGGGAGCGCAGATACACCAGTCTGCGGGTGCAGATATACCAGTCTGGGAGTGCAGATACACCGGTCTGGGAGTGCAGATACGCCGGTCTGGGAGTGCAGCTATGCCAGCCTGCGGGTGCAGATACACCC